CTCTCTCCTTCTGGTACCCCTATAATTCTGATGTTGGTACGCTTGAAGTTGTCCCAGAGGTTCCTTACACTATCTTCATATTTTTGGAATCTCTTTTCTTTTTTCTTTTTCGGTTGGGTATTTTTTGTTTCTTTGTATTTCAAATCTTTGACTTGATTCTTGGGATCCTCTTGTCTGCTGCTGGATCTCTGTAAATTATTCTTTATTTCAGTCAGTGTATGCTTAATTTCTAGTTGGTCCTTTTTCATGTCCTCCATGGTCTCACTATACTTATTGAGGGTTTCATTAAATTTATCGGCGGTTTCCATAAAATTCTTGAAAAACCTTATAAAAGTGGCCTTGAACTCTATATCCAATCGTTTGCTTTCCTCCATTTCTGCCATTTGTGACCTGTTTCTTTGTCTCCGCATTTTGGCAGCTTCCCTGTGTTGATAGAGTGGCCCTGTGCGCCAGGTGTCCTGTAGGGCCCAGTAGCTCAGCCTCCCCAGTTACCTGGGGTGGACACTCTTGGTGCACTCTTGGTGCCTTGGTTGTTGTAGAATCACTGGGAGGAATTGACCTCCAGGCCAATTGGCTGTGGGAATCAGCTGTGTCTAAAGTGGGAGAACTTCTGTGCTGAAGACACCCTTCTGGGGCAAGACTTGCTTCAGTGGGGCTTTGGTGCTCACTGAGTCTGCTCCCTGAGTGTGTCCCTTATGGATCTGAGGAGTTGCAGTCTGGATGGACCCCCTCTGACCACTGGGTACAGTGGCTCCTGGATCTAAGGAGGTGCTAATTCAGCCTCTGCCTGAGGCCACACAGCAGGAGCCACGAAGAGGCTCAGCTGTGAAGCAATGCAAGCCGCTGCGGGGCCTTGGGCCTTCTCTTGGAAGTTCAGGGTCTGCCTGGTTCGGCTGCAGTTAGGTACATTCACATGCAAAAGCCTCTGCCGCAGCCTGGGTGGGGCGGGGTCTCAGGGAGTCAAAGGGCGGAGAAAGCAGCTATGGCCGATTCTCCGCCCGGAGTCGCGCGTCTCAGTGTCCCGGTAACGGCTGCAAGCACCTCTGAGGGAAAGCCGCCCTCAAGTTCGCCCGCTGCTGGACAGACCAGCCTCTCCCCGTATGAGCCCTGGGTCCCCAGAGACTTCCCGGAACCGGAGTTCAGAGCAGTCAGGAGCTTGTGATTCAAAAAGACAGCCGCGTCCTCAGGTGCTACCCCCTTTCCTCCCGCGCGCGCGCGAGCCGCCGTACCTCTGCACTTCACCTCCGCAGCGCCTCTGGCTCTCAGCGTGCTTTTCTTTCCTTCTAGTTGTAGAATTTACACTCAGCCAGCCTTCCTGTTGTTCTGGATGATGTTTGCTCAGTCCTTTGCGGTAATTTTCAATTGTTGTGGGAGGCGACAATTTCCCGGTGTTTACCTATGCCGCCATCTTAGTTGCTCCAGGAGTTGCTTTTTAAAAAGATAAAGTTGACAAACCATTAGCTATATTAACTTGAAAAGAAGAGAAAACTCAAATAAATAAAATCTTAAATGAAATAGAGGATATTGCAACCATTGCTGCAGAAATAAAAAGGATTATAAGAGATTATTATGAACAATGTATGACAACAAATATGATGACTTAGAAGAAATAGATAAATTTCTAAAAACATACAACTTGCCATGACTAAATCATGAAGAAATAGAAAATCTGAAGCTATCAATAACTGGTAGGGAGATTAAATCAGCAATCAAAAACCTCCCAATAAGAAAAAACCCAGGACCAGATGACTACAGTAGAGATCTCCACCTGTGCAAAGAAAAATTAATACCAATCTTCTTCAAATAGTACCAAAAAAATGGAATAGGAGGGAATATATCCAACCCCATTCCGTGAGACCAGCATTATCCTGATATCAGGCAAAGATACTCTAAGTAAAGAAACCTACAAACTAATATCCCTGGTGAATATTGATGAAAAAAATTCTCAACACAATACTAGCAAACTGAATTCAACAATACATTAAAAGAATTATACCCTGTGACCAGGTGGGATTTATTCCCAGAATGCAATGATATGACAACATACAAAAATCAATCAATGTGATACACTACACTAACTGAATAAAGGACAAAAACCACATTATTATCTCAACTGATGAAGAAAAAGCATTTAACAATATTCAATACCCTTTTAAGATAAAAACACTTAATGAACTTGGAAGAGAAGGAAATTAGCTCAACATAATAAAGACCATATTTGAAAAGCCCACATCTAAATTTATACAAAATAGTTAAGACTGAAAGCTTTTCCTGTAAGATGAGGGACAAAGCAAGAATGTCTGTTCTTGCCACTTCTATTCAATATAATATTGGAAGGCCTATCCAGAGCAATTTGGCAAGAAAAATGAATAAAAGGCATCTAAATTGGAAAGAAAGAAGTAAAATCTCTGTTTGGAGATGACATGATTTTATATATAGAAAACCCCAAAGATACCATACAATAAAACCAGTTAGAGCTAATAAACAAATTCAACAAAATTGCAGGATATAAAAATCAATGTAAAAAGTCAGTTGTGTTTCTATACATTAACAATGAATTTCCTGAAAAAGAAATTAAGGAAGCAATCCCATGCACAATAGTATTAAAAAACCCCAAATACTTAGGAATAAACCCAACCAAGGAGATGAAAGATTTATACACTGAAAACTATAAAACAGTGCTAATATAACTTTGTCTGCATAAAGAATATACAGACAAAAAGCCACCCCATGTTTATGGATCAAAAGACTTTATGTATTTTAAATATATTGTTTATATTGTCTTTACCATCCAAAAATATCCAAGGTTCAACCCATCCCTATCAATATCCCAGTGGTGTTTTATTAGAAGAAATATAACAAATATTATCCTAAAATTTATATGTAATCTCAAGGAACTTTGAATAGCCAAGACAATTTTTACAAAGAAGAACAAAGTTGGAGGAATCACATTTCCTGACTTCAAAACATATTATAAAGCTACAATAATCAAAACAGTATGGTACTGCCCAGCCGGTGTGGCTCAGTGAATTGAGTGTTGTCTCATGGACCAAGAGGTCGCTGGTTCAATACCTGGGCAGGACATATGCCCAGGTTGTGGGTTTGATCCCCAGTAGGGGGTGTGCAGGAAGCAGCTGATTAATGTTTTTCTATCTTTTTCCCTCTCCTTTCCTTTCTCAGAAAAAGCAAAACATATTTAAAACACATACACATAAAAACAGTATGGTACTGGCACAAGAAAGGTATACAGACCAATGGAATAGAGAGTCCAGAAATAAGCCCTAATGTACATGGTCAAATGATTTTTGAACGGCTGCTCAGACCACTCATTGATGAAAAGACAATCTTTTCAACAAATGGTATTGGGAACATAAGATATCCAAATGCAAAAGAATGAAGTTTGACCCTTATCTCTACACCATATTTAAAAAATTAATTCAAAATGAATTATCAACCTAAATGTAAAACCACAAACTATAAAACTCTTAGGAAAAACAGGGTAGAAGCTTCACAATATTGGATTTTGCCACAATTTCTTGGATATGACACCAAAGCATAGGCAACAAAAGACAAAATAGACAAATGAGATGATATCAGAGTTAAAACTTTTGTTCATCAAAGGACAAAATCAACAGAACAAAAAGACATCCTATGGGTTGGCAGCAAATATATGCAAAACATACATCTGAGAGTGGTTAATATCTAGAATATATAAATAACTGCTACACATCAACAAAAAAAATCAAATAACATGATTAAAAGTGGGCAAAGGACTTGATTATAAATCTTTCCAAAGATGAAACACAAATGGAAAATTAGCATATGAAAAGATGCTTAACATCAATAATCACCAGAGAAATGCAAATCAGAAATACAATGAAATATCACCTCATACATATTAGGATGACTATTAAAAATACCAGGAAAGAACAAGTGCTGGGATGTGAAGTTGGAACCCTTGTTCACTGTTGGTGGAATTGTAAAATGGTGCAACTGCAATGGGAAACAATATGGCACTTCCTCAAAAAAACTGAATTACCATCTAATCCAGCAACCCCACCTCTGGCATATGTACAGAAGTATTGAAACCAGGATCTCAAAGAGATATGTTCACTCCCATGTTTATTAGCAGCACTATTCAAAATACCAAGAAGTGGTAGCACCCACTTTTGATGGGTGAATGCATAATGATAATGTTTTATATCTATAATAATAAAAGCATAATATGCTAATTAGACCAGATGACCTTCTGGACGAAGCCAGGGCTGTGAGGGAAGCCCGGGTCCTGGGTGCCAGAGGGAAGCGGGAGCCGGCAGCCGGGGGAAGGAAGGTCTACTCTTGCATGAATTTCGTGCATCAGGCCTCTAGTATATACATATACATGTACATATACATATACATATACATACATACAATTGAGTGTTGTTCTGCCTAAAAAAGGAAGGAATTCTTGGATGAATCCTGAAATAATGCTAAGTGAAATAAACCAGTCACAAAGGACAAACACTGTATGATTCCACTTATATGAGATATGTTAAGTAGTCAAAATATTAGAGAAAGATAGTAGAATGGTGGTTACCAGGAGCTGATGGTTGTGGGGAGAAAATGGGGCAAAAAGGAATTACTGTTTAATGGATATAGAATTTCAATTCTGCAAGATCTGTTTTACAACAATGTAAATACACTTAACACTACTGAACTGTACACTTGAAATTGCTTATGATGATGCATTTTATAATTTCTGTTTCTTTCCACAATAAAAAATTAATTCAAAAGCACATTCATTGTAAATATCTTTGAAAGTACAGAGAACATGAAAAAAAAAATAACCAGTTTTTCTACAACTCAGATGTTAGCATTTTGGCAAATATCCTTTTGGTCTTTTTAACTTGTTTATGTGCATTTTTTTAAGTTGTAAAAATTCCATTTATAAGTTGATAGTGTGGTTTATGTCTCTAAAATTTGACATGTTAATTTACCTCTTTTTTTTTTTTTTAAAGATTCTCTTTTTGGTGAGTGTGAACAAGGTGGGTTCTTTGAGATTTTTGTCTGCCAAATACTACATTTTGTACTTGGGGAAAACTAATGTTTACTTCAATGCAGGTACTTCCATATGACATGTTAACTCTAATGGTTTACGCATGTGGAGAGTTTTAAGAATTGATCATTTTGTGAGTTAGTAAAAGTAAGCTAGATTATTCTACAGTAATTTTTTCTCCCCAATTATTGTAGTCCTATGTATAAAGATACAGTTTAGCTTTCACTCCATAGACAATGAAGGTTGGCCGGAGTCTGCTTCAAATAATCACTCAGGAACCCAGCCAACTGAGGTGCCACCATCTAGAATGTTTATGTTCTTTGTGGCAAAGGAAGGGGGACCAGAGAGTGGAAAGAGACTTGTGGCTGCAGCAACCCAGAAGAGACACATGCCATTTCCATACATTTAATTGGCCAGAATGAGTCACATGGCCCCATTGGACTGCCAGGGGGCGGGAAACTGAGGCTCCCTTTATGCTCAGGAAGGAAAGGAGAACTGAATATTGGTGATCAGTGGTAATAGCTACCGTATTTTGTTTACAATATAGAGTACCATATCGGAAAGATTATTATTTGTTCCTACATGCACTGAGCATCTACTAGGTGTCAGTAAATTTACTAGCTCTGATTCTTCTAACAATCATGTAAAATATGTTGTTATTCTACTTTACTGATAATGAAAGCGAGGCTAAGACATATTAAGTAAATTACCCAAACAGCGAGTGCTGGCAAGGATGTGAAGAAAAGGGAACGCTTGTGGACTGTTGGTGGGAATGCAGACTGGTGCAGCAACTGTGGAAAACAGTATAGAGTTTCCTCAACAAATTAAAAATGGAACTGCCTTATGACCCAGTGATTCTACTTCTGGGAATACATCCAAAACACTAATTCAAAAGACTATATGCACCCCTATGTTCATTGCAACATTATTACAATAGCCAAGATTTGGAAGCAGCATCAGTAGATGAGTGTATAAAGAAGCTGATATTCATTTACACATGGAATACTATTTGGCCATAAAAAATAAGGAAACTTTTTGTGACAGCCTGGATGGACCTAGAGAGTATTATGGTAAGTGAAATAAGCCAGATAGAGAAAGACAAATACAATATTATTTCACTTGTATATGGAATCTAATGAACAAAATAAACTAACAAAGTGCAGACAGACTCATAGATACAGAAAACAGACTGACAGCTGTCAGACTGACAGGGCCTGGGGCCTGGGTGAAAAAGGTGAAGGGATTAAGCAAAGAAAAAAAATCACCTCATAGACACAACAGTATGGCCGTTACCAGAGGGAAAGGAGGGTGGGGAGAAGTAGAGAAGTGTAAAGGGGGATAAATGGTGAGGGAAAGAGACCTGACTTGAGGTGGTGAACACACAATACAATATACAGATGATGTATTGTAGAACTGTACATCTGCAATCCATATGATTTTATTAACCAATGTCATTCCAATAAATTCAATTAAAAAAGAAGTAAAATAAGTAAATTACCCAAGTTCTCAGTTTGTCGTATAACTGGGATTTGAACAGATGTCTTCTAGCCTCCAAAGTCTACAGACTTCACAAAATATTTTGCTTCCTTCCTCTATCCTACCTCAGGACTTAACTTAGAGACCAAGGGGACAGCTTCTCTACTAAAAGGAGGCTTGCTGATATTGACTTTCTTTAACATTAGCAAAAGCATTATTATTAACATGAAACTGCATGCGAAGAATAATAGTTGAGTGGGCTCACATAGTGGGTATAGTGAATATATCCACTGTAAAAATGTATCTGCTATAAAAACGGCCACAGATTTACAATTGTACTGTCATGTAGGTTGGGAGTCTGAGTGGGTCTCACTGGGCTAACATTAGTGTCAGCGGGGCCATGTTCTCTCTGGAGGCTCCAAGGGAGGGTCCAGCCCCTTGCCTTTTCCAGCTTCTGGAGGCTGCTTTCCTTGGCTTGTGACCCCTTCTTCCACCTTCACACCAGCAACAGCAGGTTAAGCCCTCACTGTGCATTGCTCTGACCTCTTCCGTAGTCACATCTCCCTCTCTGACCCTCCCTTCTGTCTCCCTCTCCCACTTTTAAAGACCCCTGTGATGACATCTGCCCCACTCAGATAATCCAGGATAATATTTCATTTTAAGGCCAGCCTTCATTCCATCTGCAACCTTAATTTCCCTTTGCCATGTAACCTAACCTATTCACAGGTTCTGGGAATTAGGACATGGGCATCTTTGGAGGACCATAATTCTGTACACTATAGTAGATTATTGATGCAGATCCAAAATTAAATTGGACCTAGACTTTAGTCTTAATTTACTATGGGATTATAGTGAGCCCATTTCGTTTTCTCTCGTGCTTCAGTATTAATGTTTTAAATAATATGATAGTGACAGGTGACATTGAAAAAAAAAAAAAGGTAGATGGTTTTCAAAGCAGCTCAATAGCAAATGCAAGGAAAAAGAGCATGTTTATCTTGCCCAAGGGCACTGTAATGTGAAAATGAAAGTGTGAACTTTGGGACCAGAGTAGTTGAATTTAAATCCAGATTCCTGCTCATTATGCAAAATCTTGGGAAAGTTCCTTGGCTTCAAGGTGTCTCATCTGCAAAACGGAAATAATAAAGATAGCACCCAAGTTTTTAGGAGGATCAAACATATTGATTCTGGTCACATAATGAGTCCTCAGTGTTAGCTGTTGGTACAGAGAGATGCACGATTTATTAGGAAAAAGAATTGGAGGTTACAGTTCAGGGGTTGGCATTTGTTTGAAATGAGAAGTCAACTATGGCAAAATGAAAATTGCAAAAGGCTTTAGGAGTCCTACCCAGGACACTTCTGGGCTTGAACTGAGTATACCAGGTAAGTGGCTGTGGGCTGCAGGGTTTCTCAGTGAAAAGTGGGCTCCTTGGTGACACGCACGGGTCACCGCTGCCTGCCTCTCCATCTCTGGAGAAATCTTGTGGGAACTCCTCCCCTCAAACCCGCCTGGGCTTTCCCTGTTCTGAGCCCTTGTTCAAGTCATCCTCCGGCTCCTTGACTGCCTCCTCCCATCTCTGCCTGTTGAAATTCTGCATCTCAACGAACATCTACTCCATGAAGCCAATATGATGTCTCCAGCCAGAAAGGACATCCCATTTTTCTGGATTGCTGTGAGACTTCCCCTGCACAGCCTTTATATTGTGATTAACTCTGTGTGTCTTTTCTTCTCCACTAGAGGCAGTTGCCTGATGTCCTGGTGCAGTGTGTGTTTTATGGCATGTGACACGTGCTCAGTAAAGTTCTGTTGAGAAAATGGAAAGTGAATGAGGGAGTGAGAGTGTACCATGTCCAAAGAAGGATGTCTCAGGGCTTTTTGGGTGAGGAATTAAGAGGTGATATTCATATCATTCTTCATCTTAAAGGTCTCTCTTCTCTGATTAAGGGCACTTCCCTTGCTCTGTTGCTGGTCCCCAACCCAGAGTGTGAATGAGAAATCTTTTCTGAAACATAAAAAGTTTACAAAAGTCTTGAAACTATCCTTGAGATTCCAAATCAGAGGTGGGGCTCAGGCATACATATTTATTTAAGCTTCAACGTTGTTTCTAAAGTAAGTCCAGGAAAGGTAACTGTTATAATTGGAACTGCAAAGAATTTCAGATATTGGCTAATGAATGCTTCCTGAACAACCCCTACGTTCGAGATGAGGTTGAGGTTTGGGCAAAGTGCGCCGGGAGGAGAAATGAGTAGGTATGTGACAATAATGTAGCCGTGGGTGAGGGAAGGGTGGGAAGGTGCTGGAGAGAAACTTCGTTTTTGCCAACATAAAAATTGCATTGAGTTTTTTTTTTCTATCTTTTGTTTACCTTTAGCATAGTGAGAACCTGGAATAGCATTAAGAAGTCATGGGATCCACTCGTGCACTGCTGGGGGGAATGCAGACTGGTGCAGCCACTATGGAAGACAGTATGGAGTTTCCTTAACAAACTAAAAATGGAACTCCCATTTGACCCTGTGATCCCACTTCTAGGAATATATCCCAAGAAACCAGAAACACCAATCAGATATATGCACCCATATGTTCATAGCAGCACAATTCACCATAGCGAAGATCTGGAAACAGCCTAAGTGCCCATCAGTAGATGAATGGATTAGAAAACTGTGGTACGTCTACACAATGGAATACTATGCTGCTCTAAAAAGGAAGGAACTCTTACCATTTGCAACGGCATGGAGGGAACTGGAGAGCATTATGCTAAGTGAAATAAGCCAGTCAATGAAGGAAAAATACCACATGATCTCACTCATTTCTGGATAATAAAGACCATTATAAACGTATGAACAATAATAGATACAGAGGCAGAACTGCCTCAAACAGATTGTCAAACTGTAGCGGGAAGGCCGGAGAAGGTTGGGGGGCAGGAGGGAGGGGGGTAAGAGATCAATCGAAGGACTTGTATGCATGCATATAAGCATAACCAATGGACATAAGACACTGGGGGGTAGGGGAGGCCAGGAGATTGTCAAGGGCGGGGGAAAAAAAATAAGGACACATATGTAATACCCTTTGTAATACTTTAAGCAATAAAACAATAAAAAAAAAAAGAAGTCATGGGAGAGAACACACACACACACACACACACACACACACTTCTAAGTGACAAAGCCAAATGTGAAACGTAAGTCCGCATGGACTCAACTGAGTAATTTGAATAAGAATTCAACAAGAGATAAGGTAAATCAGGCCAGACTTAGGTAAAGAAAAGGACAGGGAAACTATCTGGATTTCGAATTTAAGAGATATCTGTGATACTATCAATAATAAAAAAATATATTTAAAATACTACTACTAATAAAAATGTAAAAAATATAAAAGATGAGATTTTTCTAGAAATTGGATTTTGAATTCACTTTGCCCAAGTGAATGAAGCCTCAAAGGTTGTACTGTGGGTGACAACCTCTGCATATCACCTATTAGCTAAAGGGACCCAAATGGTCACGCAGTGCCCTGTCAGTCAAGAGCTTAGCTGGGTAGAAGGTGCAGGTTAGACAACAAAGGGAGAATAAGAAGAGTAGCTGAAGGGCTCAGAATCTGGGGTTGGTTTTACTCACAGATGGTACTCCCAGTCTTGCTGTTTTCTTGATAAAATTTAATGCTGTTGTGGAAGAAATAGAACTACACCATTTGACAGTGTGTCCTTAGATTGGATTCAATCAAATATGTGAGGAGCTATGATGCCTTCCAATCATTTTACAGTTGGAGAACCCAAGGCCAGAAATGGGAGAGTGACGTAAGTGATGTGCACAGTAAGGGCCAGGTATACCCACAGAACCAAAGCTCTGCGTTTCACAGCCTTCCCTATTGGCCCATTGGGAGGGTGGCCTCTGCAGGGAGGGAGTGGCTTCGCCAGGGCCACGAGGTGGGTTTGGAAGCCAAGTTCAAGAGCAGCATTTTACTCTCCACGTGTAACTGGTATTTACTACCATTTGCTTACAACGAAAAACATTAAACAATTTCCCACATTTCCTCTAAATGAATGGGACTCCGCAGGAAAACCCTAAAGGGAAGTGTTTGAGAAATTGGTGGCAGAGGAATTTCACTACGAGGAGAATGTGTTTGCTTATTAATAGGTTCTATGTTGCCAGCTCCAGGGGGACTGGCCTGAATAGCTGGCGGGGAAAAGCATTCAAGGGCCCGGCTTGATGGAAACAGGGGAAAATGGGAGGGGAAGGAAGGGAAATAAGTTCAAAAAAGATCAAGAGCTTGTCCTCTGCTGCTGCTTAGGGCTGAGTCGTGGAGAAACGTGGAGCCTCGCTTCTTTTGTGCCTCATTTGCAGTTTATACGCAGTGTCTATGACATCTCATTCTGTGAGATGAGGCTGCCTTTAATTTCAAAAAACAACCTGCTATCGCTGGCGTGTGTATAGCCTGGTTAGAGAGGTTGTTGACCCTGACTGTGGGTTAATGAGTATGTGAGAGGTATGTGTTTGCCTTTGTGAGGAATTATCTAGATACAATTTACAGCAATGTCACCCTCCTGCAGGAACTTTCGCTTGGTCCTCTGGTCCGTAAGTGTTTATCATGCCTGAGCCAGGCCCTGTGCTGTGCTGGGGGGTGCCGCACACTGAGCTATGTGCCCAGCTCACAGAGAGGCTGGCGGGGAAGAGGGAAAAGAAATAGACAATCACAGCACAAAGTGAGATAAACGCAGGGTGCAGATTTGTACTGGGTCTTAACGAAGGGGGTGCCTATTTCACCTGGGTAGGATGGAGAGGGCAGGAAACAGCGAAAGCTGCCTGGAGGAAGAGGCATCTGAAGGAGATTTAAGAATTAGTTGGCAAGGTCTGAATTTTCAATACTCTGGGACCCACTGGAATTGTCTGCAAATTCTTTTGTGTGTTATGTGCATTTGCCTTTCTTCAGAGGGTAACTATCATCACATTCTTAGAAGCCTAAGACCTTCTGTTTCTCCAGTTAATTATTTCGATGAACATAGCAGTACTTTTGAATATTACGTCCAGCTAATAGATGTTCTGTTTCCCCACGCACATGTGTGCGTTTATGCGTATATGCGCATGTATAGAGGGAACTATAGCAAGCACCAGTATGGTTAAATTCGTGTGCATACACATGAGCATTTTCCTGGAGTGAAATCTCAGAGGAGTGACTGCTTCAACCAAGCATATGAGGGTTTGAAAAATGTTTGCTACATATTGTCAGAATTCCCCCTTCACATTGTAGTTTTACACGGTTATTAGTAGAAGGGGAATGCCATTTCCCTGAAATCTTGCCAATGCTATTTTTATTGCCTTTTAATTAAGAAAAATATCAAACATAAAATGGTACAAAAGATAGACACCTATGAATTTATTTGCCAGATATAATAGAAGTAACAGTTTTCCATCATGTTATGAAGAAATAGAGTGTGATAGAATACAGCAGAAGCCCACGGCCCCATTTCTGCACCCCATTCACCTCCGTCCCTCTCCGGATATGTTTTATTATTAAATCTATAGGGGTAACATTGCTGGATAACATTATATAATTTTCAGATGTACAACATTATAGTTTACTGTCTGTGTACTCTATTGTGTGCTCACTATCTGCAGTCTAGTTTCCTTCCGTTGCCATATATTAGATCCTCTTGACCCACTTTGCTGTCCCCACTCCGCTGTCCCTCTGGGAACCACCATCCTATTGTGTATCTATGAGATATATACAACAGCATGCTACTCAGCCATAAAAAAGATGAAATATTGCCACTTGAGACAACAAGGATGGATCTTGAGAGTATTATGCCAAGTGAAATAAGTCAGATGGAAAAGGACCAAAAAAGAACATTATCATTAATATTATCATCCTCCCCTCCTCCCCCCACTGCCCTTGTCAACCACTAATCTATTTTCTCTCTCTAGGGTTTGTCTATTCTGGACATTTCATATAAATGGAATCATACAATATGTGGTCTTTTGTAACTGACTTCTTTCACTTGACATAATGTTTTTAAGGTTCTTCCATGTTGTATCATGTATCAGGACTTCATTCCTTTTTATGGCTGAATTAGAGGCCCAGTGCATGAAAATTCATGCACTGGAGGGCAGGTCCCTAGCCTGGCTTGTCCCCTCTCACAGTCTGGGAGCCTTCAGGGACAGGCTGGTGATCAGGGGAAGGTGATGCCCCATCACACTTCTGCTGCTGCCACTGCCCGCAGCGCAAGCCTTGGCCAGCCCTGGGTGGCTGGGCAGCCGTCATCCAAGGCCTGCCTGTGCCTTGGGCCAGCCCTGGGTGGCTGGGGGGCTGAGGGGACTGGGGCAATCCAGAGGCAGGTGCGTGGAGCCTTGTTGCGCACCTACTGCCCTGGTGGGGCTGAGGGGACTGGGCACCACTATCTGGTGGCTGTGGGCGCCACCATCTTTGAGGACAGGGAAGTCAATTAGCATATTCCCTCCTTATTGGCTGTGGGAGCTGCCATCTTTGAGGACAGGGAAGTCAATTAGCATATTCCCTCCTTATTGGCTGTGGGTGCTGCCATCTTTGAGGGTGGGGCAGTCAACTAGCATATTTCCTCCTTATTGTCTGTGGGCACCACCATCTTTGAGGGCGGTGCAGTCAATTAGCATATTCCCTATTTATTAGATAGGATAATAATCCAGTATGTGCATAAGCTATGTCTATTTATCCATTTATTAGTTGGTAAGCATTTGTGTTGTTTTCACTTTTGGTGATTATGAATAACGATGCTGAGCATTCATGTATAAGTTCTTCTGTGGACACATGTTTTCAATTACTCTGGGCATATACCTAGGAATAAAATTTCTGCGTCATACGCTAAGTCAATGTTTAACATTTTTAGTGGAATGGCCAAATTATTTTCCAAAGTGATTGTGCCATTTTATATTTGCACTGGTAATGTTTGAGGGTTCCACTTTCTCCACATCCTCCCTAACACCTGTGATAATGTTTTTTTCTCTTTTAAATAACCATCCCAGGAAGTGTGAAATGATATAGCGTTGTGGTTTTAAGTTGCATTTCCCCTGATGGCTAATGATGCTGAGCATCTTTTCATGTAAATAATTAAGATCTAGCCTCTTCACAAGTTGGATGTCTGTAACGCACTGTTGTCTGTAGTCACTGTACTGAGCCTTAGGTCTCCAGGACTTATTTATATACCAGTTGCAAGTTTGCACCCTCTTGGTGACCTCTTGGTTCATAGGTCAATGCTCAACCACCAAGCCATGCCAGCTGGGCTATCTTTTACTTTCTTGATATAATTTGTGTCTTGAAAGTTTTTACTTTTGGTGAAGTTCAATTTTCACCAACATTTCTCCTGTTTCCTTATCCCTTGTCCCTTGTAACCTCCATTTTACTGTTTTTATGGGTTTGCCTTTTTAAAATTCTACTTATGAGATCATACTTGCCTTTCTCTCTCTGACTTATCTCACTTAGTATAACGTCCTCAAGGTCCAACCATATTGTTGTAAATGGGAGGATTTCCTTCTTTTTTTGTGGCTGAGTAATATTCCATTGTATGTATGTGTATATACACCATATCTTCTTCTTCCATTCACCCACGGACAGACACTTGGGTTGTTTCCCTCTTACCTATTATGAATAATGCTGCAATGAATATGGAAATGCAGATGCCTCTTCAATATCCTATTTTCATGTCCTTCAGATATATGCCTAGAAGTGCAATTTCTGGATCATATGGTAGTTCTATTTCTGTTTTTTTTTTGGAGGAACCTTTATATTGTTTTCCATAGTGGCTGAATCAATTTACCATCCCACCAATAGTGTGCAAGGATTCCCTTTTCTCTACATTCTACATTTATCTATTGTCTTTTCTTTGATAGTCATTCTAACAGGTGTGAGGTGATCAGATAAGGGGTTAATATGCAAAATATATAGAGAACTCATACTATTTAATAACAAAACACCAAAAAATCTGATTTAAAAATGGGCAGAGGAACTAAATAGCCATTTTTTCCCAAAGAAGACTTTCAAGTGGCCAACAGGTGCATGAAAAGATGCTCAACGTCACTAATCATCAGAAAAATGCAAATCAATAAGATATCACTACCTTCTCTTTTATTACTTTGGGCTCAGGCTGCCCTTCCACTCATACACTTGATGGCCTTTCTTCTTGCCTCCTCACAGGCACCCTTCCAGCAACCCTACCCAATCTCCTACATATCCACTCTCATCTCTCTACTGAACTTTTCTATCACATAAGTATGATTTTATTTTCCCATCTTGAAAATGAACTCCTTTATTTCACTTCCCCTCCAGCTGGCACCCCATCCTCCTCTCTTCTTTCTCAGCAAAACCCCTTGAAAGTCTTGTTCTTCACTTCATGACAGTCACAGTGGCCTCCTTGCTCCTCCCCAAGCAAACCAGGGCTGCTGCTGACTCAGAACCTTTGCACTTGCTGTTCCTCAGCCTGGCACATTCTTCTCCAAGATATCCGTGTGGTCCACCCCCTGACATCTTTCAGGTCTTAAACACATATTACTTTTATGGTGCCCTCCCTAAGTTGCCTATTTAAAATTGCAGTCTTCCTAATAATTCCTATCTACTGTGGGGAAGCATGGGACTTGGTTGGAAAGTCTGTAAGGAGGAATCTCTGAAAGGTCAGGGGCCTTTACGGGGACCTTGCCGAAAGCGACAGACCCTGCCTTGACATTTCCAAACAAGTCTGAGCCCCAGGGTGTTTACTGGAATCTTTATGTTTAGTCTTTAGACGTCCTTGCTTAAAGGACGCTACAGACACAGTGTCTTCTCAAGGATGCTTACGCCGCTGATAGTATCTAATAGTTAATTTTAGTTCAAGCTGTTGTTACAATAAAAGCCTAAGGAGGCAGGTGAATGGGGCTGTTTGGTTCTCTAGCCAGGCAGTCCCTTAGCCCTCTCTTTCACAGAAATGTGTGTCAGAGTAATCATTCATCCGTCGCTCAGGGTCTGCTGGTCAGCCCCGGCAATCTATTTTTTCTGTTTCGGTTTTCTCCATAGTAATTACCTCCACTGAACATATTATGGTAGCTTATATTTTTGTTCATGATAATTTATTCCATCCCCTGCAATAGGATTATGTGTACCCACCCTTGCCATGCTCATCTTAGATGCAGTAAACTTCCTCATACCATTGTCAGGTTTGGGTATGTGATTTGTGTTTATTAATAGAATGTGAGGGAACATGACATATGCCACTGCTAAGCAGAAGCTTTATATATAACATCATGATTGGCTTGGTATTTTATATTTTTTCCCTTTGCCACTATCAGAGCATTTCCCAGAGAGGGGATCTTCATTCAGCCTATGTCCTGGCATGGATTAGATCTATAGTCAACTCAGAGCCTGGAGCAGAGCTGCAGGCAACCTGCAATCTTCTTATAACATTAGTGACATATAAATTTCATTATAAACGATGGTGATTATGGATAGTTTGTTACCCCCAGCAAAAGCTTAATATACATGCTATATTATTTTTGTTGTTGTTTGTTCTTATATTTTTATTTATTTTAGAGAGAGGATGGGAGACGGAGAGAGAGAAATATCAATGATGAGAGAGAGTCATTGGTTGGCTGCCTCTTGCATGCCCCCTATGGGGATTGAACCCACAACCTGGCATGTGCCCTGACTAGGAATCGAACCATGACCTATTGGTTCATGGATCGACCGACAATCACTGAGCCACACTGGCCAGGCAGCACATGCTATATATTGTGTTGAACAAAAATGATCTATCTTTTCCTCTTGAAAGTATATGCTATTAAAGCAAGGGGTTTTGTCTGTTTCATTCATTGCTCTCTCCCCAGTACCTAAAAGAGTATCTGGCGCATGGTAGAGCTTCATAAATATATAAGTAGAATGAATTTATGCATGCTGGGAAATTCTCAGCCATTTTTTCCTTAAATATTGCCTCTTCCCATTCTCCCTATTTTCTTTTCCTGGAATTCCTCTTTAAATGTATGTTGGATGTTCTTATTCTGTCTTTCATATCTCCTATTCACTCATTTATGTTTTTCATTTCTTACATCTTCATGCTTCATTCTGGGTAATTATTTCAGAACTCCCTTCCAACTCTTTAATACTCTATTTATCTGGGACTCACCTGCTGCCTAATTTATTCTTTGAACCTTTAGTCTAATGGCAATATTTTTTTCTTTAAGTTCTGTTTTATTCTTTTTTCAAATCTATCCTGTTTTCATCCCCTTTCTTTCAATATGGTTTTTATACCTGCTTTAATCATTTTAATAATTTAATAAATATTTACTTTATATTCTCCCATTGAAAAACAACTTCTGTTATCTGAAGTTTTGTTTTTTTTTTGGGCGGGGGCGGGGGGGGGGATGAGGGCAGTAAATGTCCAACATTTCTGAGTCATGACCTTGCTCATGGAAGATTATTTCCTCTTTCAGTTTCTGATATTTTTGGAAGCTCATATCCAGTGAGCATTAAAAAAAAAAATTCTTATGAGATCCATATATGCTCTTAAAAATCACGGGTATGGTAAAAAATTATTTTTTACCAAAAAGTTAGCATTCCTTTGTACTCCACACCTGCATATGACATAGACTTGGGTTTTCACTTTCTTCCAGGAGATTTGTTTTATTGCTCCCCAAACCCTAGGCAGATGCTTTTTCACCCCTGAGCTGCGGGATGGAGTTTTTCAGCCACTCCTGATGGAGGGACAGCCTCTTCAGGATCCCTGGTATGTGCGGGATCTTCATCAGTGTGCAGCTCCCCTTGTAGTCCTGAGAGCTATATCCTTGTCTGAGAGCCCACCCCAGCTCTGAAGAATCAGCTTTCAAGCTTCCTGTTCTATCTTTCAGTTTTCTGTTTTTCAGAAAATATGTAGAAAGGTCTTTCTTGTCCTGCTATTGCTCAAAATATCCAGCTGTATTTTTTCCAGAAAAACATTTAGCTCATATGAAATTTCTTTTGGTGTATGGTGTAAGAAAGATATCCAAATTCTCTCCAAAATGGTAAACAAATTGTCTAAACTTAGCTTATTAAAAGTTCTTTCTAACCGTGTTTTTACCTTTATCATAAATTCTTATGGATTAGGGATGAATTTCAGAGCTTTTTACTTCACTTTAATAATCTGTCTGTCATTTGCTGCGCTATTTTCATATTGTTTCAAGTAGTGTATCTTTCGAATACATTTTAATACTGGGCAATTCAAGCCCCTTTGTAGCCTTATTTTTTGGGGGGGGTCTAGTGATAGATGTTTATTTTTTTCAATAAACTGTATAATTTATTTAGTCACCAACTATATGTATGAGATATGATGGGAATGAATCATATTTATAAACTAATTAATTAATTTAATTAATTTATTTTTTGTTAATCCTCACCTTAGGGTATTTTTCCATTGATTCTTTTTGTTTTTGAGAGTAGAAGAGAGAGGCAAAGACAGAGAGAAACATCGATGTGAAAGAAACACATTGATTGGTTGCCTCCTGCATGAGCCCCGACAAGGGCCCGGGCCAGGGAGGAGCCTGCAACCAACTTACTAAGGTACTGCCCTTGACCGGAATCAAACCCGGGACTCTTTGGTCAGCAGAACGACGCTCTATCTACTGAGCCAAACTGGCTTGGGCTATTTGTAAATTAATTTACAGATAATAGATATTTATAATGTTGAACCAACTCATGAAGTAACAATTCATCTTCCCATTCAATATTTTTTTCTCTTGTGTAAAAAGGAGGAAGCCTAGAAGCTGGTGAGCGAGGCCATTGCATCTGGCATCTTCAATGACTTGGGGTCTGGAAGTAACATTGACCTCTGTGTCATCAGCAGGAGCAAGCTGGACTTTCAATAAATATGCTGCAATGAATAAATATTTCAAATATTCCTCATATAACATTTCTTGTATAATTTGTTATGAGTATTCTTTTTAAATTTTAATTGTGGTAAAGTGTCACCTTAACCATTTTTTTAACTATCCTAACCATTTGCCATCTTAACCATTTTTAAGTGTATAGTTCAGTAGTGTTAAATACACTTGCATTGTCATAAACCAATCTTCAGAACTCTGTTCATCTTGCTGAACAGAAATGCTGTACCCATTAAACAGCTCTCCCCTCCCACCAACCCCTGGCAACCACTAGTCTACTTTCTGTTCCTATGAATTTGGCAACTCTAGGTACTCATGTAAATGAAATCATGCAGTTTTGTCTGGTTTGTTTCACTTAGCATGAAGTCTTCAAATTTCATCCATGTGGTAGCATATATCATAATTTCCTTCATTTAAAAGTCTGGACAATATTTCATTTTATGTATAGACCACATTTTGTTTATCCATTCATGAACTGATGGACACTTGGGTTCCTTCCACCTTTTTTATATTGTGAGTAATGCTGTTATGAACATGGGTGTACAAATATCTCCTTAGACTCTGCTTTCAATTCTTTTGGTATAGATCTAGAAGTGGTTGCTGGGTCATATGGTAATTTTATTATTATAAATATTTTATATTGTTGTTATTAGTAAGCTTTTGTTGCATTATATTCTGTAATCGGTTCTTGATGGCATAACGAAAAATCTATTGGATTTTGTATATTTCTTATGTTTGTACCAGTGGTTCTCAAGCTTGGATTTACATTATAGAGTCATCTGGGGAGCTTTCTAAACATACACAGAGCCAGACCTCACTCAAGAACAATTAAATCAATTTCTGGGGTGAGTCATTCATAGTTCTTAAGAGCTTTCCAGGTGATTCTAAAGTGAAGCAAAGGTTAAGAAACACTGGTCTAAACCAACTTACTGAAGTCTTACTAGATTTAATTATTTTAATTGATCACATGGATATTTGAATAGACAATAATTTCACCTGCATAGAAAGATAATTTTCTATTATTTTCTATATTACACCTCTCTTTAATGTACTTTTGACTTATTAAATTGACCAAAACTTCCTTAACAATGTTAAATGCAACGTTGTTTTAGTTCCTGATTTTAAAATAATGTGTTTGCCTTATATGATACTGGTGCCCTGATGCACAGATTTGTGCACATTGAAAGGAAATTAGGTGGCCGGTGCTGCAGGACTGGGCAAGATGGGCTGGACACGCCCTGGAGCCAACCTCCTGTAGTCCCTCCCTGGCCAGCTGCACCTGGGCAACGCTGTGGCTAGAAGGTCGTCTGTGGAGTGGGAGGGGTCCCTCCAGAAGGTGAGGTCTCTCGGCCCGGCCTGTGGGGACTGGGCCGAAACTGGCTCTCCGATATCCCCCGAGGAATCCTGGATTTCAAGAGGGTGATTCTCGGGCGACACACCCCAGAATTGGGTTCCCTCCTCTCTGGTTCCAGGTGCATCACCTGAGGACTGCATCTGCCAAGTCACCACAGCTTGGCAGCTCCTGCATTGAGTGTCTGCTCCCTGGTGGTCACTGAGCATCATAGCTACTAGTCGGATGGTCGAACCGTCAGATGGTTGCTTAGGCATTTATATATATATAGATTAGATGCTATTTTCAAAGGGATATTGTCTTCTTCTTCATGAGCATTTCTTGAGTAAGATATAAAAGTAAGATATGAAGAGTTTTCATCCATGACTGTATCTTTTGAAATTTCAGTATATATTTTCCTGAATTAAGCACAGATGACTTTTAAGAAAAGAAATCAAATTATGAATGTATTTTCTATTCATTTTACTAATAAGTTTTTTTTAAATCTGCACCCCAGGATATTTTTCCATTGATTTTAGAGAGAGTGAGAGACAGAGAGGAAAAGACAGAAAGCAACATTGATGTGAGACAAGCACATCCATTGATTGCCTCCTGCATGTGCCCTGACCAGAGTCTGGGTTGGGGAGGAGCCTGCAACTGAGGTACATGCCGTTGACTGGAATCAAACCCGGGACCCTTAGGTCCACAGGCCCATGCTCTATCCATTGAGACAAACTGACTAGGGCTTATTAATAAGTTTTACTAAAAATGTATTTTGACTGATCCATATATGATATTATTTATATATGCATATATATATATATATATATATATATATATATATATATATATGAGTTTTCCTTCCTTCCTTCCTTCCTTCCTTCCTTCCTTCCTTCCTTCCTTCCTTCCTCCTTTCCTTCCTTCTTTTGTTACTGTGATATTTATCACAGGTTTATCTTATTTGACCAAGTAATATTTGGGAACATATTAATGGAGGTGCTAGTATTGAAGCCATGGGTGAGGCTGCTGTGTAAAGGTGCTGTCTTCCTTCCCTCCACTTGGATCTAAAGAACTTCCACTGCAATGGCCCCACAGCTGCTCTGCTCTGAAAAGTCATGGCTACCTTATTTCTTCCCACCTAGGCTCCAACCCACAGGGCTTCATTGCTGGAAAGTGCTCTTCTAGGGTGCACTATGTTTCCACCTTCTCCATATTTCCTTTCCAGATGTTTTCTGGGAGTTGTTATATCAGAATGGTTGTAAAACAAATGCTGGATGAGAGTATGTGACAGAGTTGAACAGAACTCTGCCAAGACTAAAAGGCAACACCCACCTGTTTTGGGGGTCCTACAACTTCCGAATCCCTGAGCCAGGAGGCAATGGTGAGGGAGGGCTGACCTGCCTTCCTTCCTCTCCTTTTCCTCCCTTCTTTCTTTCCTCCCTCTCTCTTTTCTCTTTCTTTCTTTCTTTCTTTCTTTCTTTCTTTCTTTCTTTCTTTCTTTCTTTCTTTCTTTCTTTCTTTCTTTCTTTCTTTCTTTCTTTCCTTCCTCTAAATGGTCTCCTTTTTATGAGGCCAAGATTGCAATTCATGAGGCAGATTTTATTTAACAAAACTCCATTTGTCTGTAATTTTGAGGATTCCCTCTGCTTTGACATTCTTTTGTCTGGCAGATTTTTGTTTCTTCTGGTTGTGAGTTTTCATTCCCCCTCTCCCCCACACCAACCCCTGAAGAAACTGAGGAATGAAATATCATTAAAATATTACCTTAAAACAGAAGTCTAATATAATTTCATCCTTTTTGTGCATTTTAATCGGGAGAGTAATGGGCAGATTTGGGTTAAGGGGAGACAAGAGAGGAAGCACAGAGACTAGTAAGGAAGCATGATGGTACGTTAAAATATTTGAGGACACGTTAATGCAACATAAAACAAGTTAGCGATCTGAATTCGGTTTCGTGTAACCAACCTCATGTAGTAAAAAGGTCACTGGAGTGCATATCAGGAGATAGAGCTTAATCTGAGTTCTAACTCATCCTAACTACCTGTGTAGACTTAAAGAACTCTCATAACGTCTTTAAGGTTCAGTTTCCTTATGTGAGAAGATCAAAGTAAGATTCTTGGCACTGTGCCAACATTTTTAAGTTTTTGCTCCTGCACCTGTAGAAATAAATGTGGTAGATGCTGAGTGCAGTGAAAGATAGGCTGGAAGCAGACGGGGCAGGTGATGGGCTTGGAAGAAGGTCCGGTTTGGACAGGAGGGCCTTCAGTGTGGGGAGGGCTCCCGCTGGGTGTTGTGTGTGCCATTTCTGGGTCAGATGCTAAGGTTGACAAACTGATTTGTTTACAGAGGAGGGACGAAGGCAGGGGACATATTAGAGGGAATTTTTAAATTTTGGTCCAAGGTATTATTATCTGTGTGGAGAGTCTTTACAATAATTCTTTGGAACTTTCTGCATAATGCAGTCGTCACAATGGGCAGTACCAGCACTTTGCATATGTTACCTCATACAATCTTCCCAGGAAGATAAACACATATGCCTCCTCTGCGTGGTTACATACTACAAACAAGCCACGTAGTTTGTGAATGGACAGACTTCGGATTCTTCATCTGTAGGGCTCCAAAGCCTGTGGTTTTCCCATTAAGCTGAGCTGCCTTAACTCTCAGGTCCTGTAGATGTGGTTGTCTTGTTGATGGGAGAACCAAGGAAATGTGATCCGTTTTGTGGGCTGGAAACCGTGAGCTCCTTAGGTCAGTGACTGTGTTTTATCAACTTTCTAAACCCAATGACTAGCACAATTACCAGACATATAGTAGACACGCAATAAATATAGTTAAGTGGAATTGAATTACACATGCTATCAAACGGGGATCTGAACATGCTCACTCTGTCTTTCTGGATGCTCTGTCTGAATTTGTCTTGGAATCTTGGCCTGCATTTCTTCCTCCAGGTGCTTGTCAGCCAAGGAAGGGCAGGGACTTGAAGTATTCGCTTATGCGTTAATTTGGAGATCAGCAAGACTGAGTCTCCACACTGAGGGGAGGAGAGTGCTGCCTTCAGGCTGTCGTTTTGAAACCAAACAATTAAGTTCATTACCAGTAATGGAACTGAAGATGAGCAGCAGGGAAAAGCACGAGTATAAAATGAGCAACAACTCCCCCTCACCCTCTCTCACCTCCTCTCTCTCTCCCTCTCCTCTCAAAGTGAAAGTGGCTGACCCTCTGGGCTTTGTTTACCCCTGTGAACTGTGAAACTACTGCGTTCCTGAATAATAGTGACTAATCATGGGGAAAAGACTGTTTTAAACAGGCCTAATTTAAAGCAGCTTGGCACAGAAAGGCAGACCTTGCATTTTAAAAATATAAATGGATCAATGCAGACAAGATCTCTGAGGACCAGTACCAACTCCTTGTGTGTGTGTGTGTGTGTGTGTGTGTATGTGTGTGTGTGTGTATGTGTGTGTGTGTTTCCAGTGCCGTGCAACATTTGGCACAGAACAGGTGCCCAGGTTATGTCTGTTGAATTGCACTGAAGAAACAAGCCTTGAGCTGCAGTGTGAACTGACCCTGTGTTGGAGCTCCCATTCTGTTCACTGTTGTCGGCTTGAGTTGGCTTCGCCGGATGGAGGGCTGGACAAAAAGTGTCCCATGTCTCTCAACCAAAATAAACCCATGGGAGGCTCC